CTTGCTTCAAAGGAGGCAACAGTCACTTTTCACTCATTAGCAAACCGCGCCAATGAACTCAAAGCTGTGGTTGGAAGAAACCAACAGAATCACATCATCTGCAAAAAGCAAGAAGTCCTGAAAGGTGATGTAGAAATAGAACCTTGTGTTGGACCAATGATGATTTTCCCAACAGAAAGTTGTTCAAAGGTAATATTAAATATTAAATGGAGCAACAGGTTAGAGCTGTAGAAAACAGTTAGTGGAGAAAAACTAGATCGTTTATATAGACTTTATGTCTGCCACAGATGTACTTAATGGGTTGGAATTATTTAAGAAACTGTTAGTTAGCTTAGATATTCTTGGACTCAATCTATGTGTGCCACCATGTGCTCAGATGTAGAACATGGTGACACATTTCTACATCTGAGGGAGTGCACAACTCCTTACTGGGTTGTGTCATGGATTATGAAAACAAATGTAACCAGGATTCTGTGCTCTTTTGTCCCCCCCTGATTCTTCCCAGTTAGAAGTGAAGAAGCCTCTTGGATAAGAGGCAAAACTTATTTTAGAAAACTTCATTTCCAGTTGCCTAGACTGAACATTCTCAAGCCTAAGCATGCTCTTTGTTAATTCTACGACCCTGTTGTTATCTGGCAAAAGCTTCGGCACTGATCTCTGGAACCATTCCTCTGCTTTATTTAGATTAAAGTCTAGTTCCTTTGAGACTCATCCTGTTTTAGAGAATCGTTTTATCATTGTGTGATGCAAAAGAGCAAGGAAGAAATGTAGCGGCGTGAGACCACAGACCTCTAACAGTTTTTTGGGTTATTTAAGATAATTTTTTACAGAGGTAATTTGATCCAACTCAGTGGATGTGATATAACTACCTTTACAGGAATTAATATACAATTAAACTGTAAAATATGGTTATGCTATTATCATTTTTACTATGTATTTGGGTGATTCTTAAACAAAACAACGTACAGCCCAAGAAAAAACTGATATGCAGTTGTTGGTAAGCACATGGTTTATTTACACGTTACTAAATGGTAAAACATGATGGACTAAAATGGCAACACTTGGGTATGAAATAAGGAAACCAACCTGCAGTCTCCTAACTTTATTTTCTAAAAGCACACATTGTTGTAACTTTAATAAAAAGATTATTCTGTCAAATGTATATGTTAATTTAGCAGATGATTTTTTTTTTATACTAACTTAAAAACTGCAGATGTTGTAATGGCAAAATGTCACTCTAATCAACAGCATAGTCCCATCTCGACATCCTGCTGCCTGTTACTTTCTCATAATAACTGTCTGTGATATTATTATCGCTGAGCCTCTTCACCCTCATGAAAACCTTTTTACAAGCATCATTTTGTGGCAGCAGGACATGATGAGGGGTTGAGAGCATGTGACATTTAAACAAATTGCTTTGTTTGTTGCTTCCAGGCTGAGGCTGTGAAGTCAAATATAGCTTTGTGGTTTAGAATTTGCCCATCATTACTGATGATCAGTTTAAAGGGCAAATCAACAGGGGATTCTTCTGTTGTAGGTTTGAAAAGTTCTTCCAAACGCCTCTTTTTCTTTGTACAGGAAAGTTTAACAGTTATTTCACTTCAGGCAGAGCTTTTTTAGATGGAAACTCCCAAATCATTCTGACTTTTAAATTAAGTCAACGTTGGGTCAGGTAGATGAATGTTTAGGGAAATGTTTGTTTGACAATGGTTTTTAAATTCCGTTCTCTGGACCTACTGTCCTGTGTGTTTTTAGGTTTGTCTCTGTTCCAGCACACCTACATTAAGTGACTGTACTCGCTCAGCAGCAACAGCGCGCTGATCTCTGGTAGACCGAAAAAACTGAAGTCACCTGCAGCCATTTTGGTACTCCCTACTTTCACAGAGTTGTGTCATTAAAATGCATGTAATGTAGTTACCATAACAATGTAATCAGTACATTTATATTACATTTAAATAATCAACTAGCACTTTTGGCACATCATCAGATGGTGTGTGTATGCATAATATTCTTAATATCTGACTACAATATTATTGTGCTCAATTAACACACTAATTTTGTTGTGATTGATTTGTATAATATGTTATATTACATGATTTATATACTTCATCGACCTCATACTGAATATGAAATGTGATGTGCCTAATTTTTTACCATAAATTAAAGTAATCTACTGATGCTATGAAACAGCAAGTGTGTGTCAAATTGATGACTTTATCTTTATTTTAAAAGTCTTAAGCCCCCCCCTAAAATAGAGAACGTCATTGTTGTTCAAGAGCCAAGGTCCCCGCCCTCGACAGCCACCCATTAAACTTTGCACCCGACATCTTTGGCCCCTCCTACAAGAGTGAACCAATGCTCCTCCATATCGAGAGGAGCCAGTTGAGGTGGCTCGGGCATCTGGTTAGGATGCCTCCTGGACATCTCCCTGGTGAGGTGTTCCAGGCACGCCACACCGGGAGGAGGACCAGGGGGAGACCCAGGACACACTGGAGGGACTATGTTTCTTGGATGGCCTGGGGATTCCCCCGGAGGGGCTGGGGAGAGGGACGTCTGGGCCTCCCTACTGAAGCTGCTAACCTGAAAGATGGATGGATGGATGGATGGATGGATGGATGGATGGATGGATGGATGGATGGATGGATGGATGGATGGATGGATGGATGGATGNATGGATGGATGGATGGATGGATGGATGGATGGATGGATGGATGGATGGATGGATGGATGGATGGATGGATGGATGGATGGATGGATGGATCATTGTTCGATGCTGTAGTGCACGTATTGGTTACATTCCGACCAGCCTATAGGGTGTACCAATATGGCAGCTGGTGACTTCGCAGCCCTGTGTTCTACCAACAGCCTATCAGCGATCCACTACATGATTAGAGATCAGTGCAACAGCGTGCTTCAGAGGCCTGTTAACCACCCATTTATTTAAGTGAGCTGTGCGAAGGTACAAAAATACCTAAAACATGCAGGACAATGAGACCTGAGGGCCGAGTCTGAAAACCACGGTTAGGCAATTCAGAGAATTAAGAGTAAACACAATGTCACATCCCTTCACACAACTGAATCAACCATGGTGCACACTAATACTAAATACTAAGCTGCAGCTGCAGGTATATACAACTCTGAACACTATTGTGTAATCATCATACTGTAGGTTCACTCTTATATATGCACGTATTGACTGAGCTCTTCTTGAGGCTGGTGTGTTTTTCTGTTGTTTTCTTTCCCTCATCCTATCACAAGTAAAATCTGTACGGATTGGTTTAATGACTTAATGGCATAGAAACTGATAGAAGAAGAAAAAAATGTCATAGCAGCTGAAATTAAGAGGACAGCCATGTCAGATTTCATTATCAGTATTTGAGAGGTTTTTCTAAGATTTTGCATGATGTTAACTTTAATTAATGCTGTCCTTAATTTCTCCTTCACTGTACTCTTGTAAGTTTTAACTTCTAAGTTAAAACTAAATGAAAATTAGCTTAATACTGAGCACATAATGGAAAAATGGAATACATGCGCATAAATATTTATTAAATCCTACAAGTGTGACAAAAATGCAACAAAAAAACCTAAGGGGATAACATTTTCAAGGAATAATATATCCTACCTCTGATTTCTGTTTTCTTTTTAAAGATCATATATTTATATTTAGGCCTTCCAAAGTCAGATATAGGCATAGGCATGTGTTATGATCTTATTTTTTTGTCCTTTTGGTTCTGTTTACATTTCTGTTTTGAGTTCTTGGTTATGCTTTATTTTATGTTATTCTGTGTTGTATGTTATTTAATTTTTGAATTCTTGGTTTTTGTCTTACTTTTTATCTCTTCTTAACATTTTTTGTCATATTCCTTGGTCTAGTTTTATTCATAGTTATTCTTTCTCTTAGCTTAGGTTATGTTTTCCATGGCTTCAGTTACCTCCAGTCCCTTCTCTTATCCTCTAGTTTTTCCATTGGTCATTCTTTATTTTGGAGTTATTTTATTCCCCTTTAGCCTTATATCAGTTCTTTTCTAGTTACTTTTACATCCTGTTGCTTCCTCTGCTTACTCTCTGTTGCCCCCTAATGACCTTTCCTTTCCTATTTTATCCTTCTAGTTACTTCCATCAACACCTGCTCCCTATCAGCTAATTAGTCCTCCCATGGTTTCCTGTTCAGTTACTCAGCGCAGGATCCTTGTTATTCCTTTGGATAATTCCTCTCCTGAGTTTTCTTGTCAATCAGTTCCATACTATGGATTTTCTATTTTTACTTCCTCATTAAATTTTTCCAAGAAATCATCTCTGCCTCTTCAGCACTGCATTTGGGTCCACAACAATACCCACCAACCCTGACAGGTAAGATGAAATAAATATTTTAGCACTACAGCCTTACCTTGATATAAAACCTAGTTTTCTTTCAAAAACTATATTGCCTTTAGAGCAAACCTGTTTCTCCCAGTCGGTCTGCATACCACCCATTTCATTAAACCAAGGTATCATGAAACTTCTTCGTGACTTAAATATAACCTACAAAAAGTTGCTGTCACTGTGCAGATTAGCTGCTAAAAGACCTTTTTCCTCTCAACTTTAAGCTGGAACCATCGCACTCTACCTCACATAAAACCTTCCTGGTTAAAGATGTGTAAAGAGGATTAGTCAGACATGCATAAATCAAGCAAAATACCATTTCAGGGATGATTATAGTGAAGGAAAAGCATTATATCAAAGTTACAGTAAAACCTCAAAACTGCATCCTACAGATCATGTGCATTAAACTTGGTTATTGGCTTCTTTAGTTTTACATTGATTAAGAAAAAAATAAATCTACTTTTTTTTTCTATATTTGGTTGATCAGATTACAATGGTTCAAGTAAAAACATTTATTCAGATCTCTATCTGAATGATTTGTGTATCTTTTGCATTCAGTTCTGTCAAAGTAAAAATTTACTTAACCAGCTTCTTCTTTTTATGGTCTTTAAATAAAGGAAAGAACCACTGTTGGATGAGATTTTTATTACACAAGAAAAGGCCTTTGTGATATTTCACGGTTGTACATGAAAAAGGTAATTTTCTTATCACAGATCCACCTGACGTCATGTTGTGATTAAAAACAAATCTTTACTGACGGTCAAGACGGCACTGAAAATGACTAAGCATTAAGTTACAAAACTAAAATCAGATTTTCCCCCGATTGTGCTTAGCTGAACTTCAGTCTAAGAAGAAGCTTGGCCTCCTGTTCGGTGTCACAAACACGATGGCCGGGTCCCACTGAAGGTCACCGTGTGCTCCTTTCTTACGTCTTGATTCTCACAGTCCTCGAGAAGATGCATGCTGTGAGCTGAGTGTTAAAAAAAATCGGAGCAGATAAAGCGAACAGGCAGTTCTCCGGAGCCATAGCAACAGCAGGCCCATACAATGGGTGGCTCAGAGACAGAAGCAGAGATCAGGGATGAATGAGACAGGAGGTGGAGATAGAAATGAAGACCGTGGAGGTTGGATTTACTGCTAGTTTGTTGCACATCTTTACTTCATTATGGCTTTTTCTCTCTCCTCCAAACTTATTTAGCCTCTAACATGACGGCAGAATACTACTGTGGTTCAGCAACACTGGTTTAAAAATGCTTTATTTCCTGATGTGGTTGCAGGTTATCCTTCAAAATAATTGTCCTCCTGACCCCATCTGCAGATCCATGGGGAGTGAAATCTCTACTTCCAGCAGCAGTTATTAGCTTTAAAGTAAGTTTGTCTCTGAATATATCATAGTCCATCTTGCTGGTTATTTTTCCCAGTGATGATTAGACAGCGGTGCTCCGACCCAGCAGAGGGAAGGCAGTCGGCATGCCACAACTAGGCTCCATATTTCGAAGTCTGTGAATACCCTGAAAGCCTCCCGGAAATCTCTGTACATCCCCCTGAAGTCCTCCTGTTTCACCTTGCAGATTCTCACGAAGAGTTCTGAGCTCCCTGCGTGGCATTGTTGCCATGGCAGCAGTGGCAGCCTGAATTGACCGCGCCCCTGGCGGGGTCAGGCTGTTATGGTTCAGGTCCATGTTGGAGAGAAGATGACCCAACGAGTCCCAGCGCTGGGATGAAGGCAGACGAATCAGCGAGGAGTAACCCCGGTCTGGGAACACCGTCGCCACTGGGGGCTTTCTGGTCTCGGACGTGAGGACTGAAAATGGGTTCCGGCCATCCCTCAACGTCAACGGCAGTGGCGCTCCCCGAAGGGTGATGGGCTTCAGGTAGGTTCCTCCTCGTGGGTCGGCCAAAACCTCGCTGTAAGGGGGAGGGGGGTCCTCCATAAGGACTGCATCCTCATAGCAAGGCGGCTTCCCAAATATGTCCGTGTCTGGAAGAGAGAAAAGAAGAAGAGAGGTGGTTCATGTGTCAGGTGTAGAACTTGTTACATTTCATCGCCAGCATTCATTTCCTTTTAGACATGTTTTAAGGTATGTTTCACTGAAAGGTATGTGGATTGGCAGGGAGATGACAAACCCAGGGAGCATCTGCAGCTCTTTACCTTTTCCAAAAGCAACTGCGACCCCTTTTTACTGAAAAAAACGCCACAAAATAACTTTGTTCAGAAGTTTGTTCTTAATCTGTTTAAAAATAAAGTAAACATGTATTCTTTTGTTATGCCATTGATTAATCTTTGTAGAAATCCAAATCCATGCTAATCTAGAACACAAAGGTCTATTTTTCTTTAACTGTTTTTCAACTATTCTTGTCTAGAAACATTCTTGGACACAAAAACAAAATATAAGGGCTTCCTTCTTACTTTTTGTTGAATTTATAAGTTAAAGTAACAATTGGTGTACGTTTTAATTACTGTTAACTGCAAAGGCAGAAACTCCATGAGTGATAAATAATTTGTGTTGTACTGAAAACATTACAATGAAAGTTCTAATCTTACAGTAAATGATAAAAAAAAGAAACATCCATGCGCTTGAACTGTTGTGTGAAATTTAAATTATTTAAAAAAAAGTATATCAATGCGCACAACTCCAATTTTTTCAATTTGTCAAAAACTTGGGAGCAGGTGGGTGAATGGTTCTAAAGTGCTCCCAAATAATCTGGAATGTCTGTACGCCGCTGTGGCTCATTAACAAACAGATGACAGCATGTAGCTAGAAGACGTCCAACGGAGTATGGAGCTAAATCAGTCTAAATTTTCACAAATACAAATGCACAGTACAAGATCCACACACACAGCACTATTAATGCAAGCATACAAGATTCACACATGCACAGCACATGATTTGACAAAGTATTTCTGGTGCATAAACAGTTATGAATTAAATTACAAAGTACCAGTGGTCTTTAAACTTCACTACATCTGTGTGTGGATTTTACACTTTTGTTTTTACACAGGGATGGTTTGCAACCAATCACAGAGCTCCCTTGTATAAGCCAATCACAAGAAAGTACTCCACATGGGATGACTACTTGCTCTGCTCCGGTGTTCTGTCAGCTCAGCATACCGTGTCAGGCCAGCATACCCTTGGTAATATGTATTACATAGTTTACTCTGTCACCTCTCTCCTTACATTCAATCCTGTACTTGTACCGTGCATGTATGAATCACATATGTGTATTAGTGAAAATTGAGACTGATTTAGCTCCATAACAGAGCAACAGTGGGGGGATGGAAGTGCCCCACCTTATGCCCCTGCACCCCGGATGTGTTCATAATTATTGGTTCATATTTTGTAGTTTGTTGTTGATCCAAAAATGCATCAAATCATGATACGACAGTTACCTGACCAGGATCTGTGCCATATGAAAACCGCATACCCATTAAACTACAGCTCCTTTATGTTCAGTTTGGTTGGTCAGATTAGATGCAGTGTGTTACTCAGGGTAGCCTACCAACAAGCCACAGGAACCTGTGACAAAATAAGCCATTTTTACTGCTCCCCCATAACCTGATGGTGAGTCACGATGAAAAAAGGCCTAGAGAAAATATTTGGGCACACTCTGCAAAGCGACTGTGTGCCGAGGCAGAGACTGATCATTACTAGAACAGGACTGCAGGGTACTTCTACCAGAGAGGACTGCTGACCAGATTCTGAATTTTAAGTTCTAACTAACCACTTTTATTCAGTCTGCAAGAAATCTGGTGGAGGTTTACCCAAACAAGCATCTCCAGGGTCATCATGAAGAACAGACCTTTATCTGAGCTAAGAAAAAAACAAAAAACATTTAAAGTAACAAAATGCATTCAGAGGTCCTCAGTTCACCACATTGTCACCATCTCTGCAGCCAATCCAATTCTACATGTTGACACAAACTGGGAATATATGACACATCCACTGGTCCCAGTGAGTCTCTTCAATGCCGATTCTAAACACGCAGTTATTGGTTGTTCAAAGATGCAATATTAAAGAAATGGATCACTAATGCACAATTAATTAGCTCATGTTTCTGAACAATATGTGGAGCATCTAATATTATCAAAGGATACAGAAATACCATACTATAACTGACAACAAATGATGAGGATCTAAGAAAGGATGATGCTTAATGTTTTCCACTCGTTTCTCAGGTCTTTTTCATTTAAGTTCTTGTTTGATTTTTTGGGATCATTATAAACATTTCATTAATATTCTAAATTTGTAAGCTGAGGACTTAGAAATGTGCATTTTACAAAATTAGCCATTACAGCCAGGTATCCAACAGTATTTAATATCTATATTACTAATGTTTAGTGATAAAATTTTATTGGAGCCACTGCTGTACTGTGTCATCCAGATTTCTGGGGTTTTAAATTGCATTTTAGAGAACCGTAAAGGGCCGCTGCGCCGCACTTTGATCATTCAGTCACAGCCTTACTGCAGAAAGGATTGAATTCATATATCATATAGTATGGTTTGTAAAATCTGAAGCAAAGCACCTGATTTGATGTTACATTTCAGAAAATGAAAACTCTGAGTGAACAGAGCAGAGCCACATACACTACAGAAACAATAAAATCAGCATGCAAACATGCTGCATTGCCGGGACGCCAACCATAAAGCTGTTGCCTGCTGGGATACAACAGACATGATTCACAGCAGGAACCACATCTTCTTCTTTCTTTTTATACATCCGGTTCTTATTTCAGGCTCTTGCTCCTTTTAAAACCTCCTGATTCATTCTTAGAGAAACTGCAAACAAAACCACTTATTTGTTTCTATTTCTGTCATCGCTCTTTAAATTCACTTTAATTCTCCTTATTTTGTACAGAATAGTTTATTTTGCAGTTTGTCATCTCGTATTTTCTCTGGAGTGCGCTCAGATATTCCCACAGTGGGAGCAAAATGCCAAACCAACCCACACGTTACAGAGGTGAGAATCCGAAGTTATGAAACGGCTCATGTGTCAGTGCTGATGCAAACTAATGATGACTGAGCTCTCCATTTACTGCTCATCACTGACTAATACTGTTTATTATGAACAATGTACTGTAGTGAATGAGTGACAGAGAATGTAATGTCACGTGCGGGATTTTTCTGCTCTCTGACAACATCCAGAGACTCGTTTTTACAGTTTTTCACAGTTTTTGGTTAAATTGAGACTCGATCAAAGGCCTTGGTCTACTATGAAGTAAAAGCTGTTTTAAGCTTTCCATGCCTTCAGATATTATTCTGCATGTGTTGTTCTTAATTTCTTCTGAGCATCTGCAGAGTTTTATTGAATCTGTTTCTCTGCATTTACAGTGAATGCCCTGGCAGTAAGTGGTGATGTGCACAAAAGGAGTTTCCCATGTTTTTATACAAAGTCACCAGAGGCAGACATCGTACTTTGCGCCACTGTTTTTTAACTCGTTACATTTGCAAGTAGAAGAGCAAAGAACTCTTCTCTCTAAATTCTACTGAATAATCCTGAGCAACTTAACAAAATAAATAAATAAATAAACATATTCTGTTAATATTGAAAGGAATCCTCTGTTCTACAAGTTTAGCTTTAGACAATCTCCCCTGGTTTTTATAGTTATAATACAATGATGAAATGTTCTACAGTTTCTGATTCTGCACAATTGCTACAATTTCTTCTTTCATGTTTTCCTATTATGTATAAAGTGCTGTACTGCTCAGTCCTCTTTGCCTGAATGTCAAACAGGACATGAGATCCTCTTCCTTTCAGTTTTTATGTTTATTTCAAGGTCTTTGGTCCCCTACTCGGTTAATTATTAAAACTTACTCTAAATTATTTTCCTCTATCCAATTTAATGCAATAAGCATAGTAATTCAACAGTAAGCATAGTAAACAGACAAATTATAATGAATGCTTTTGTTCAATAAAATTCATAAAAATCATTTATAACAAAAGAATTTCCAACTTTGCTTTTCATCATTTTTTATCTGAATGTATTGCTTAATATTCAGAATAAGATTTATGAATATAGCTATTATTATTATTATTATTATTATTATTATTATTATTATTATAAGTCTTACATTTTATTAGATTTAAGTCAACCGTTACGTTCTGAAAAACCATGGGGCACTAACGGACAGAGGTAGTAACATACTTACTGTAGTTCTAATCCAGTTAGACCCGCTTCTTCCACAGACATTTCTACCCTCCACCCTAAACTAGAAAAATGTTTTGAGACTCGTTTTTGGCAAGGATGCAAAAGCTTTTTTTTTCCAGGAAAACTTTAATTCTGTCCCTGCAAATGTATCCAGAAAGGTAAAGTTATTTGATATCTCCTCAATTCCCAAGCCATTTCACCCACTTCCACCTGAAGAGCAGACATAAGGGTGGATTTAATATTCCTACTGCAAATCCCCAAAGCTTGAGCCTGAATAATAACTTATTTAGATAACTTTTAGCAGCTGATCTATACACCACACTACCATAATCAATAAACGATATATTCAGCGCAACGTAGATTTTACTTAAGCCAATGATGCACTCTTAGATATGTCATTGTTTAATTGCATCTTTCTACAACTTCAATATGTAAACCCCATGACAGTCAAGAATCAAACCAGATTCCCAAATACTTGAACTCATTTACCCTTTCCAAATCATACCCATACAATTTCACATTTATATTTTTGTACGAATCTTTTTATTTGCAAAAAAACAACTTTTGTAATACTTACTGAAACCCCCTTTCTAAAGACTCAACTTGATTTATCGCCTGCTCCAGTTTTTTCACGATAAACTAAATATTCCTAACTTGTCACCTACTTACAAAGCACTTTTGGGAACAATCCCCAAAAGATTCACCTCTTGCCCGCCCTAACCAGACTCAGACCGCTCTGACGAGGAAGTAAACAACCCATTAGAACCCCCTAATGAGCATTAACACCCCCCATGTGACCTCCTTGGCCAATCCAGTAGGAGGGATCAGAGCCA